GTCCATCCAACTGGGGCAGGAGACCCTCAGGGATAGCAGCACCAAAGGCGCAGGCAACGACAGACAACAGAATCACGAACTTGAACATATTGCTCGTACAATGTCTTAATTGAAATATGCTGGCGCTTATATAGGCCGGTTTGAGGTGGTTTCTATCTTATGGTTATCTCTTCAGACAAAAATAAGTATAAACTATTTTATCAATATCAATTCTAATCCACCGTCAATACGTTGTTTACGTTGTCAGTAGGTATGTGAGTATGTATATACATATGTATGTATGTACATATGTGTGTGGTTGTATGTAGGTATCAACAGTTTTGAGTGGTGCGCAGTTGATTTCGGCTAACGCATAGGAGCCACTCGAAAATGTGGCCACGTGTGTGCGATATGAGTTTCCGGTGAAAACACTTCTCATTTGGACAGTTCTGCTATTCATCGGACACAATTTGAATTTCTTGGTATTTGTGAGCTTCTGGGCATACGTTGTTTTAATGCGCCTGATCGTACCCTGATTGGTAATTCATTCTCAATGCAATGATTAAATGAGGAATGTTAATGTACTAATTCACGTAGTTAATTGAGTATATTGGCATTTTTCAATGCCCATCTTGTTGTCCGTCCGTCCGTCGATGTGTCCGTCTGTCTGTCTGCTCTATATTTATATCTCTATATTTATATATTACTGTACTTAAACGATAAGTTCTTGAGATATAATTGAAAATCAGTTAAATCACTTTTCTAAATTATGTGTATAGAAGTTTTGATCTATTAAGAAAAATCTCTCTTATATTCATTTACTTTCAAAACATTAAACATATAGAAAATTACGCTTTGATCAATTGAAAGTCTATTTCAGTAGACGTTATCTTAGTGATTATGTCTAGAACAGACGAGTGCCGTTTCAAGATACTGTCTGGTATTTTGTGAATAATGTCTAAATCATACTAGTTTGATTAAGAGCTTATGCAATTTTTATTTATTTCAATTTCTATGTATACCCTGAACCCATAGAAAATGGGAAATGGAATTTCGGAAAAAGGCGGAACTATAAAACAAGTAAGAAGACTCTAGTCGAGACTGCTCGACTAGGAGATACCCTGAACCCTCCA